TAATATGAATCCATTGTTTCTCCACAATAAAAATTCGTATACTTCTAGCTAATATATTGAAGAAAAACATATATTTCTTTGAAAAAAATCGAAAGTGGTGTTTTTGAGATTTTTCAATATAAACAATATAAAGCAAGATTATAAACAATATTTTTTACTAACTGGATTGTGTTGCATATCTAATTAAAGCTCATGAAAAGAGCTTTAACATAAGCTATAATAAAGCTCTCTAGCACCAACTGTTGGAGAACTATACGTATTGTTAAAATTCATGATCGCCGAAAATTGTGCGCTTCTTACTATTTTTAATAATTGATTCTGAAAAAACTACTTGCTCGAAAAATCTAAAATTTTGGAATTTTATTATATTTTACAGGTACAACCTAAATACCACAAATTAGTGAAATCGGAGACGTCAAGGTTCAGACCCTTGGGTGATTTGACGTGGATTGACCCATGAGTCTCATATGATATTATATGAGAGGTAAAGATATTAATCATTGATTGCTTTTTAACTGCGTGTTATTGTCTAATTGTTACACCTTATAGTTTATTAATTTTTCACAGACAAACATGGATCTTCCAGATCTATTCAAAACACACAATAATTCTACGTAGAGAAAAGTAAATGCTGTTTGACGCGTCTAACTATTACAACAGTTTTAAATGTCATTATTTCTTATACATAGTAGTATTTATAGAAAATCTTTAGACTCTAAAGTTTCTAAACTAGAAATATGTAAACGGTAATAAGAGCCGTTTGCTAGATGTTGTTGCGGAAATACAGTGGCCCCAAAAAGTATTGGCACATCAACATTTTTAAAACTATCTTTATATAGTGAAGTGATATATTAATACAAAATATGTCCATTAATGTCTCATGATATACGGAAGCAATGTATTTTCCTAGAATTCTCATTATATTGTCATTAGAGCAAGTTTAAAAAAAAACAAAAATTTTATACTCAAACAAGTATTGGCAGATAATTTATCGCAGAGTGCAAGTAAATTAGGCATACAAGAAACATTTTGGTTCCAACAAGATAACGATCCGAAGCATTCGGCGAAGAAAACACGGGCATGGCTTTTGTATAATGTACCAAAACAGTTTGAAACACTACCCCAATCACCAGATGTTAATCCCATAGAGAACCTTTGGCATATTTTAGATTTACAAATTCGACAAAAAAGAATAAGAAACAAAAACGATTTAAAAGAAGCACTACTGGAAGAGTGGCTCAAAATTCCTCTTGAAACTACGAGAAAACTTGTGGAATCATTCCAAGTCGATTGCAGGCAATAATTGATGCCAAAAGCATGCATACAAAATATTAAAAACTTGATTTGCATTAAAAATTGCAAAAGAATTATGTATTTCTTAAGTAAGACGCAAGTGTGCCAATACTTTTTTGAGTACAAAATTTTCGTTTTTCTTTCTCAACTTGCTTCACTTACAATATTGACAGTTCTAAAAAAACACATTGCTTACATATATTAAAAGACATTAATGTACACATTTTGTATTAATGTATCACTTCACTATATAAATATATTTTAAAAAATGTTGATGTGCCAATACTTTTTAGGGCCACTGTATATGTGTATATACATATGACGACATTTAAGTGAATTGAAATGACAATAAAGCCTATGATATAAAAGATTTAAATACATATTTTAAATTTATAATGATTATCTTTTTTTTCTGCGCGTAGACGATAACTTCTTCGCAGACATCATGTCACCTTTAGCAGTAAACGACACTAACAAAAAGTTTGTTTTTGTGCAAGTGAAAAATAGGCAGTTATGAATTTGTAGCCGTTTACATGAAATAGCTATCTCGCATTAAGCGACTATTTCATAATAGATATCTTTACCCTATATATATATATATATATATATATATATATATACACATATGTTCGTGTAATTATATTTTATGTGTAATTATAGGTAGCTGAATACACTCATCAGCCAAATTTATATATATACATATATGTGTATATAAATATGTGTGTGTGTATATATATATATATATATATATATGTATTTACGTGTAAATCTTACACGTTAATTTTTGAATTGAGATTTTAAGCCGGAAATTCCAGGTATATATATATATATATATGTATCTGACACACACACACACACACGCAGTTTTATATATATATATATATATATATATATATATATTGTGACGTGACACTTTTTGTGTCCATCACAAGGATACATTTCCGGCACAGGAGGCGGTGAGCTCGCGTTTTCCCACTATTTGAAGGAGAGCAGCTCATTAGATTGCGTAGCGCAGGCGAAGGCGCTTACTTTGGGTTTGCGATTGTTTTGCGTAATATGCCGCTCGGCGGCTATTTTGTAAGTTATTTTCAGCGTGAAGAGAGCAACACACTGTACGTGACTGGCTGGTAGAGAAGAGCGAGAAAGAGAGAAGATAACGCGAGGTCCAGAGGCGTGAGGCGTTACCGGCCTAGGATATTCGGCAGAAATTTTGACGTCGAACTCTAAAAGTGGTAGAAACTTCCAGAAAATCGAAATCGAAGCTTCCAACGGAGTGACAGGCTCGATGATGCTGGGAGATGAGCCTCAACAAGCTCATTTCATTGACTAATCAAGGTAGAACGGACCTGATACGACCAATGAAAGGGCCCGAGTCGCTATTATGCGAGGAACACGTGGCCGCTGTCACTCGCAGCGCCACGAAAGAAAGAATGGTTCAGTTACGTAGCAGGAAGAACAGCTCTGTAGAGCAATTGCCGAAGAATACGAATCTTCATTGTTGCGCGTACCGTCAACCCCGCGAGTTCGTCGTCTCTCACGTATGTCGTGATGCCGGGGTGTAAGACTGTGTGCCGGACAACATCCGAGGAGAACCTGCTAAGACGATCTTAAAAGGGAGAATAGTTACCGTTTTGTAGAGAGTAGCCGGCAAACGTAAATGTGGTTGGTTCTCTTCCGCACTCGCGACTTATATTGTTCGTGAATCGAATCTCGACGGGCTACCCTGCGAGTTCTATATCGCGCGATATGTTGCCGAAAATATAGTGTATCGTGATTTGCGTTGGCCAATGATAAGAATAATTATCTTTATTTACCGCTGCTGTTGTTCCGATCAGTCGCGGTCGCAATAATCCGGGCTTATCTATGCTCGTCATTCTTGTATGTTTTGTTTTCATTTTTTTTTTTTTTTGTTTGCGCCAATTTCGTCCGTTCGTTATAGTCTCTTAACGCGTGTGATTCTGAAATATTGAATATCATGTCTTTGTATTTTTCCGAACATCGCCGTAAGAAATTGTGAAAATCTGTGACCGTCGGACCGCGACAGTGTGTCACGTTCTTTGTCTCACTCGCGTCGAATAAAAACCGCGCGCCTATTGTGCGCCTTATCTAAGACCTTGCGTGCGACAGCGCATTTCTGCGTCTGAATTATATCTCGCGGTCATCTTAGCGCGATAATATCTTAGAATACGGACACACGGTCGCGAGATATTATAATAAAAAAGGACTACATCATATAACTTGGCTATCAGTTATAGTTGCGTTACACATGTAGCATTTTATCGCGCTCTTTTACTGTATGTTTTTTTTTTTTTTTTTTGTTTGTACCGCCGATATCATTTCTGGCCAGCGACCGGCCAAACTCATTGCAAGTTGTTGATATTAAACTCTATTCTAATTATCAATCAACATGCATGTTTCTCTGCCTTTATTTAAACACCGCCTCCTGAGCCCACAACTTTCCGTTGGTATTTATGAAACCGAGCTGCCGATGCACGTTACCGTCACGTCGAAATTATTGGATTAGGTCTCTTAATTAGCGTCGAGATTATTAAATTTGGCGTGTGAATTCACGCCTGGCGCCTAATTAACTGATTCGGTAAGTAAACCTTGAGATTTCTGACAAAAAAACGTGCCGAAGGTGTACAGCACTTTTGCTAAAAGATCTCAAAGCGAGGTGACCGTCACAATATATATATATATATGTTGTACATACACGCATATTTCCGCAACAACATCCAGCGAACGGCTCTTATTACCGTCTATATATTTCTAGAAATATTTGTTTGAACGATTTAATACAAGCGTTTCTATACATCATTTATTAAAGTTATTTTTAACAACTAAATTGTTAACCTGAGGATTAATAATCTTCTTGAAATTTTTATTTAAGGACCTATATTTGATACATTGTTAACAACAAAAGAAGTAAATATGGACTGCAACAAACAATCTACTTCGTGTAACACAAACAACGAAATTGTTATCTCTGGTATTGCTGGACGATTTCCTAATTCTGACAATATGAAACAACTTCAGGATAATCTTTTTAATAAAATCGATCTTGCTTCGAACGATAATCAAAGATGGAATACTGGTAAGATACTTTTTGTTGAGTGTGAAAGTGTGTGTGAGAAAGAGAAGACCTGAGTGATTGGCTAATTACTACATACTTTCTTCACATTTCTATTCATTAGCATAAACCATAAACTTTACACATTTCACGTTCTTATCGAATAGCTGATCGATGGCGGCGTTTACCCTCGCTAAAATAAGGTATTGAAAGCCTCGTACGGTTATTGTAAACCAATAAAATTTTTAATATAAACTTATCTGAAAACTTAAAACAATCTTAAATGGAAAATGCAATATATAACTGCATTTGGCATTAGAAATCGAAAACCGAAAACAAAACAACAAATAGAGCTACTCGATTAATTGCAGTTACACAAGTACACAAATTTCTGAGCTAAAAAAGCACTGCGAATTTTTATACATATATGAAAAGCAATCTATGAGATATTTGATCCGAAATTCAGCGCAAAGTAAATAGTGATGGTATTTTTTTGAATTTTTGCAGTTGAGTTTGACATGCCCTCTAGACTTGGCAAGATCAATAACATAGAGAAGTTCGACGCACAATATTTCGACATTTCTATGTTTGAAGCTCAAGTATTAGATCCTATGACTAGAATGTTACTGGAACACACTTATGAGGCAATTATTGATGCTGGACTTAATCCTGAAGAGTTACATGAAACAAACACTGCAATAATTATAGGAGCGTGTTCGGCATCTACGTTTAATGCAGTCGTGTATAGTAAACCTCAGGTACAAAACTTGTTTGATATGATAAATTACGATAAATATTATAGTATTTCGGTTTTTACTTAAAAATTACCCAATAAAATCATAGAGAGAAACATTGATAACACATATTTCATTATGTTTTTTTACAACACTTTCGTGCGCCATTACTTCCACTTTTATAGAATGTAGGAGCTATATTAAAAACTTAATTTTGATTTGAGTTTATGCTATATATATATGTATGTATATGTATATATATACACATATATATATCCACTCAACTTTTTAATTCTGCCGTTAATCTACATCTACAATTTGTGAAAAAAGTGATTTTTGCTTCATATCTGTGTGCATATGTGCATACTTATAATTCAGGCTCGGAATTGTTCGCATAAAATTTCTGATAGGCACACTTGCTGCTTTTTCTTTACTGCTCGAATCAACAAAATTCTGTCTCATGCTCGATGAAAAGCGCACTAAAATAGAAGCGCGTTTGCGTCTTGAAACGGTAACCGTCGTTGAAGTGTGTACAAGCGAGTAAAGACAATCAAAGAAGCGTAATTCTTAAAACTTTGGCTGAAGATGCAAATTATGAGTACTAAATTATAACCACTTATTAGCAATATCAAAAAATGGAACTGGCCCACTGGTCTCGCGGCCTGAGTGTAGGGGCTATGAACATGAGAATTCCGAGTTCGAATCCACTTATCACCTTAAGATGTTTTTTGGGCCGGTCCCTTTCAATCGAGTTAATTAAGTGATTGGCAAACTAAATCCTGCTTTAAAAAAATTAATTCGAGTGAAATCTCGAATTAATTTCTTTCCCATAAGGCGATCTCAAGAGAGGGTCTTGGAGCGTACTATATATTATATCGTGATTACTGGTACCGATACAAGTGATATCAATTATAAAACGTCGTTAGAGAAACAAGTACATATATAAAAAGAGATTATAGTAGATTTAAACGTATTAGACGGTGTTTGTATAGTTTTGGCTTCTAAATCGTAGTCTAATAGTCTCATTACATTCTTGAATATTATGTCTATCTCGGACACTAATTTGGTTTTTATGCATAACTCTTAAACTGTAAATGCCAATACAATAAAAGTGGAGGTGATTGTAACTTCAAAAATTGTTGTTAAGTTTTTCATATATTGAAAAATGTCCGAGATTAATTTTATTATTTTCTTTTATTCTGTAGAGCCGTTTTTCTGAGCAATAAATACGAAAAACACCTAATACGAACGAAAAACGTCTAATACGAATTACTCGTTCGATCGGTATAACAAAAAGGTCCAGAACCCTCTTAAGTTATAACACCCAAAGCACAAGCCCGATATAGATAGGCAAGCCCACTATAATAGCCGTATATCGCGTGATAGTATACTGTAGTAGTATACTATACAATCCTAACTTGACGGAAGAGAATGGAAAATGAAGAAAAATGCTGGAAGAAACCAGAGACAAAACAAAAAAAAGTGGAAAAAAGAATGTGACCCGCAATTGCTCGTCCGGTTATGAGCACGTTAAAATAATTACGTAAAAATAAAAGTATCAAACAATAAATATACCATCGAATCAAATAAAAATAGTTCCTAACTACTAAAGTAAATATAATGGCGCGCAAAAGCATCGTAAAAAAAATATATATATATAGAGTAAAAGTGTCTAGTACAAGATAACTTTTTGTAAAGGCTTGTAAATTATTAAATATATAATCTTAAGTTTTACTTTTATGTTAAACTTATGGGAAATATATTCAAGGTTTATCATCAAAAGTGAGCAATCGATAATATCAATACTTTGTTGTATGTAAATTTTTTTATCAAAAGTGCCGATTTGCTGATACAAAAAAAAATTTCTAATATGAGACACAAGGAATTTCTTTCCTATAGAAATCTTAGCAACAATAGAACATATGTGTGTGTGTTGTTAAGAATGACAATAATTCTTAACTTTTCTGCAAAAAACAAATGCCTGACTCACCTTGTTTTAAATTTGCTGAAAACTCAAGCGTTTTGTTTTCGGCAACATGACAGCAAAAACGTAGACAGGTGACTATCAGGGTATGGGAAGAGCTACTATAACATACATAACAAAAGATGGCCGCGCGAAGCGCGTAAAACAGTCCAATGCATGCTTATTTTCGCGGATCTTTGTTACTTAAGAGGATACTGAACCAGCGGATTAACAGCTGCTTTGCTGCTACGCTGTCCAGTAGGTGGTGCCCTCTATACAAGGATAGACATATATTTCTTTTCTTGTCTCTCGTTCGGTTTGCTCGTCTGAAGCCTCTTGCACAATGGACGGAATAGCAATAGCGATAGAAATAACAAAAGTTTTAAAGAGTTTATATTTAAAAATAAAGGTAGGAACAGCGGAATCTAACATACAAAACTACACATGTATCAATGCAGATCAGAAAATCGGAATANAACAGCGGAATCTAACATACAAAACTACACATGTATCAATGCAGATCAGAAAATCGGAATAAGCAATAGCGATAAAATTTCCGACGAGTTGGAATTCTGTGTTAAAAATTGTGTTATTTCTATTGCTATCGCTATTCCTTCCATTGTGCAAGGGGCTTGATAGTGGAGGGGATATGCACACGTACGTGACTGTCTGCTTGTGTGCGTATCCTTTCTACTATCGCATGTGCTTCATTAGAAGATCTAACTATTCTTGTAAACTACCCTGATAGGAAACCATTTACAAAATTATGTGACAAAATCTTGCATTAAAATTGTAATTTGCAATTATACAGACATATTTTAGGAAATAGATGCAAAAACATTGATCTTTTCTGAAATATTCGTAGTTGTTTGCAAAATCACAATACTTTTCGAATACTATTTCGGCAAAAGAATAACGATATGGCGAATCATCTTAGCAGTATATTTGCAAACTTAATTTCACAAAGAAATTATCCAATAATTGAGGAAAGAAATTCAGCTATGTAATGTTTCAATTATGTAGAAGTATCCCAGCAAACACAGATATATAACAGCAACATTGTCGTAATAAAACAAATGTAACAAGTAATATAACATGTTCGTTGCATGTAACATCCATGTTAGTTGTAATTTTCTACTTATCGTATATTGCAGTTATATAATATGAATATAAGTAGAATGTAAGTAGAATGTAATATAATTGTTATATAGTTACAGAAATGTTATACGAAAGTTATAATGTCAATACCAGCTAATAACAAGCAATATAATAGATATATAACATAATTAGATTACATTTATAAAACAAAGTTACATAACATCGATGTTAATAGAGTATAACAGCTGTTATATTACGTATATCACGCTGTTACTTCTATGTTATATAGCAGTTATAATCTGTGTTTGGTGGAATGATTGCATATGAAGAAATGCAAGAAATTGTCGTCACTCATGATGTCATATTTGTGCAATATTTTCACAATTTGCTTATTGGAGGTATATAAACTGTGGAAATGCATAACGACTTTTTCGCAATTTTTGACAAATATTATTTACAATATTTTATTTCGACAAAATTGTTGCGTTATGGCGAATCATCTTGGTGCAATCATTGCAAAATTGTCGCCATTCATTATGCTCTTTTTGTGCAATATTTCACAAATGTGCCTATTGGGGTAGATAATAAATTCACATTCTGATCGTCCCATTATATTCTTTTATATTGTTACGCCCGCGGAGCGCGGAGCCGTTCTCGAGGGACGCCGATACTCGCGTGCGCGGACGCGGCAATGACAAAGGCGCACTTTCTTATGAACACACTTTATTTCGTTACAAATACAGCGTTTTTATTGCCCGTTGTACAAATC